GATGAACACCAAGAGACAGAAGTTTGACAATATGCTGTTAGTAATTTCTGTTGTCAGTCTTGTTAGCGAAAAACAGAGTCTGAAACTCTCCACTCGCGTTTCCTTGGCTTCAGCAGTAAGGGCACGTCAGCATCTGGTTTTCTTCTCATACAAGTGGAATTCCAATAAATGGAGATACGGTCATAACTGAGTTTTTCAGCATTTTTCATTCTGAGAGCAAGTTCAGGCTCATGTCAAGTTTCTGAAAATAATCTAGTGAGAGGGAAAGTGAAGGGATCAAATTATACTGCTGTGAGGAACAAACGTTTCCATTTATTTCATCAAAACAAAAACTTTGGATTTTTACCATAGCTGAAAATAGGGATGTATATTTTATTGCTTAAAGATTGTTTCGTGTTTTTGTCAGCTAGTGTAATGAAAAATGAGTTTGAAGTTTGTAGTCAGATTTACTCCCACACCCTAGTGGATGAATATACCCCTGCAATATTTGGGATTCAAATACTGTGAGAAAATGTTTCTTTTTTTCATTCAACTATTTAAAAATGATTGCTCGATTTTTTTTCCCCTACCCAAATAGTTACTTTTACAATAAATAGTATTTGGGACCATATATAACCTACCGTGTACTTATCGTAGGTTCCTTTTCAGTGACCTAGATTTTTTTTTAAAGCTGTTTCAATTAAACTGTCGGCATGCCAAGTATAATGAGAAAAGTTAGCTATTTGTCATTAGACCTGTCCCAAGCACTAAGGGGCCCAAGGTGGCTGTGTCTTGATCGGCTTATTGTCCTCCTCCTCCTCCTCCTCCTCCTTCAGACCTAGGACTGTGGCTAGACTATCTCACCCCTCCCACTCCCCCACTTGATGCTGCTACTTCTGTTTTCAAAGGCAAGTTTGAAAATGGTTCTGGATTCAAAGGGAAGATGCTTTGAGACAGGCAAAATTTATGAAGAAAATGGCAATTAAGGGGCATAAGGTCATGGCTGAGGTTGAAAGAGGAGGTGAAAGCAGGCCCTTTGCCATTAATTCACTTGCCTCTTTTTAGTTGTTCTGTAACTCTCTCTCCACTTACCCCTGTGCAAACTGGGATTGTTCCACTGAAGTCATTGAACACATGCTATCGTAAAACTTATGCGAGGGAGGAAGGCTCTCAGTGCCGCTGAACTGAGAAATCAGAATTCTTGGTTGTCCCTGTGCAAGGGTGACGCTGCTGTGGACCAGCGCGGCCAGAGGAGTGCCAGGGTGCCTGTGTAAAGGAACAGACGCATCCTCAAATGCTCTGCTGTTGCCAGCTTCTGCCAACATTGCTGCTTTCGGACGCGATTTGGGGTTTAATCAGATTGGCAGCATATGGCACCTAAAGTTGTGGTTCTCTGAATCAAAATGGGAGCTTTGGCTTCTGGCAAATGCAAATGCATGTGAAACATTTCACATGTTTCAGACCAAATGCAGAAACTCAAAATGTTAGTGATACATAAACCAGCTGTACACAGCAAAACAGAAATGAAGGCCCAGGTTATAGTTATGGAACATTTAGAATGCGATCGTTGTACGTGTAATTTATTCTGGGTGGATTTTGTTTAAACTGCAAGAAATGGAATATTAAGCATCTATCTTTAATAAGCAGTGTCAGATGACCTGCAGGTAAGCACAGAGCATATGAAACGTATCAGGTGTGAGGATTAACGTGGTTCGTAACGTCAGTTGGAAGGTGAGTGGTTCGCAAGGAGTGAATGTTTCTCTCATTAAATTAAATTGGCTCTTGCCAGTGGGAGCTAATATACTGTGAATTAATGTTTTATTTACTTATTTTAGAAAAGTACATATGGTGGTTGGTATAATGCTGTAGTGTATCTGCAGAACTATAGCAACACGCAAGTTTTAACTTTTATTCCATTGCTAATATTAACTATTATGCCTTTTAAGTAATTACTCATTTTCCAAGTGCTATTTGCGTGTAATTTTCCTGCTCAGATGAATTCCTTAAAGAACCAATCTGTTTTCATGAGCAGTTTAGTGTAGGGATCTTCCTGTATTTGAAATCTGAATCCTGTGAAATTGTTAAGCAGCGTTGTTAGTGGCTTAAAATTGGTTTCTACCTTAGAGAAAAAAATTAAGCCCTGAGTCTCAAGTTAAAGTAATCGGAACAAGCTTTTTTCAAATTATTGTAGTTCAGCATTAGGTGTGGCCCAAAGGTCAGTATCTTCTATATTGATGTAATTCTGCAGGTACATGGTACACTGCGCTAGATACGACCTGCAAGTTGTAAGAGAAATTACTAAGAATAAAACTGATCATGTCCACTTCTCCATTTCTATTATGTTTTGCTCCCCTGTCTGCAAAGTGGCATTGCCACATCATCTTAGTGTGCTAACTGATTATTTACAATCATTGTCCTCACAGTAAAAAAAGAGGTAACTTTGCCTGGAAGATCTACTGTTATTATCTTCCAAAATGAAAGCACTGAAATACTGAACAACTTTCAGTCAGACTAAGTTTTTCTACGTTTCAGATGATTAGTCACGTGCAGATATATGGAAACGTTACATGGATTTTGTTAGCAGACTGGTCAAGAATTGTCAAACGGTGTTAGGCTGAACTTGTGTTGTGAACTTGATTCAATCACAGCTTGTAACCAGCAACGTATGTGTGGTTGTATATACGCACACTGCTTAGTTTAGAATTAACTCAATTTAAAATTTACAGAATTAGAGATTATTCTTACAATGGTCATGTCATTTGCAGCAATCTTTTAAGATGAGAATATGCAATCAGGTGGAAGTCTAACCTCCAAGCAGAAAATCCTAGCTCAGACAGGCTGCCACTCATTCATCCTCTGTAACAAAGTGGTCAGGTATCACTGAGACGTCTCTTTAATGAAATCTTTTTGTTGTCTTTTACCTGTGTGAAGGACAAAACGCACCACTTTACTAACATTCTCACTTAATGATGATAATGTTTTTTTCTGTTTAAAAAAAATCCAGCAGCATAAAAGACTTAAAATATTCAAATGTTAGTAGTTTAGAATGATAAAGCTTTCTAAATCTGTAACATTTAGGTCTCTATTTAGATTCTTATGTCACACAAAAATGATGTTACATCAGTTCATTAATAAATTCATAGAGATGATGCAATTTATGCAATACCATCTTTAGCATTTGAAATACTTTTGGTTTTAAAAAAAAAAAACTATAATAAAACAGAAAATGTATTTCAAATTTATGCCGAGGTTTTCTGAATAGATTTGGAGGGGACTTCACTTGTTTTCCAGGGTATTCCCAGTGCATCCGTGAGCATATTCCTGATCTTGCTCTTCAGCAGAATTTGCAGATGGGAAGGCTGTGTGACATACTGGGTATGTTATGAGCTGTTGTCTGCCTTTATTTGTATTTACCCATAGTTGTGAATAAAAGAGATTGACTGATGGGGACTTTCTTGCTGTATTAATGTTAAATATAGAGAACATATAAGCTCAGAAGTAATTTATCTGCTATGCTATTTGCTCCTGTCCAAGTTACTCGTAAGAGGACCCTATTGATTCTTTCTGACTCTGTGATAAGGTAAAGCAGCCTTTGGTAAAGGTGCATGCTGAGCACCACAAACGATCCAAAGTGCTTAGTGTTCTACAAAATTAGGTAGCTAATTCTGCTAGTGTGCATTCAGGCTCATATGAGGAGAAAGATGTGCTAGAAAAGAGCAAGCCCTTATTTAAACTAATTTTTTTTTTTATTTAGAAAATGAGGCAAGAGATATACATTAAAAAGTTTTTGCTAGAATGACAGTCCTCCTTTAAGCAAAGCGATGAAGAATATTGTTTGTCAATGACCAACTTCATTGGCTCCCTAGAATGACATACTTTACATGATTCATATATATTTCAGTATCATTATTATTTTATAAATGCCATTTAGTAAGTTTGTAACAAAAATATATTAGATGTAGAAATTTACAGTTGCCTAAAATAATAATATAATTGCCTTTATATATTATCTAGGCACTAATGTTGTTTTTCCGTAGTACAGTTTTATTTTTTCAGGTTTTTTAAGGTAGTTTTTTTGTCTTTAAAATGATATTTTGAAACTTAAAGGGACAAAGTCAACACATTATACAGGCATTCTCCCTCACCTTAAAATCTGTGAACATGAAAATTGGTTCCACTGTAGAATATAAGATAGACCACAAGTAAGATACAAACTAGTCAATTATTAACTAAATTATTAACTACGTCAGATGCTTTACCTGTGCCTGACAGAAGAACATTGATGTTTACCATACTGGTTTTCTTTTTCTTTAGAAGGATTTCCTTGCTTGCTGCGACCTGCTAGTATTTAATCTGTCTCTGGAGCCCCACTGTGTCCAAAGCAGACTTTTATATCTGTTTGTAGGGTAGTGCTAGAGTAGTAAACTGTTTTGCAGCATTTTATTCACTGAATTCACTTGGGCTTGCCAGTTTTTAACAGTGCGTTCAGCATTACAGCCAACAGGGGTGAGTAGTCTTTTTGTACCCTGGTTGGTAAGTTTTCAGGCTGATTTTGAGAGTCTGAGTAAACGCCTAAATGTGATACTGAATATTGACTAAAGATCTAGTGAACTGCTCTTTTAACTGTTTTGGAGAGTTATATGGTAATGATCTGTGTTACATAAAAGGCTTCACCAGGGCTGAGGCATGAGGCTGGTTGTCAGATGCTGTAATGCTTTAGTTGAGATTCTGGCCTTACGTTGTTAATGTGGGTTGTTTGCCGGCAGCAGTACAGCAAAACAAAGTGAATGGGTAGGTTATCTCACTCCTTTGTAGTGTTGGATTCAGGATTTCCTTACTCCAGTGCTTGCTTTGCTTCTGATTCATTGTCCTTTAATAGCATTTGTCCCTGGCACTTTCAGGGCTCTTATTCCTGTGCCCAGTAAAGACAATGAAAGACTTCCTACCGATTTCAGTAGGAGTTGGATCAAAATCTACGAGTGCTTTTTGGCAGCATATTCTGTTGATGTTGCAAGGCCAATTAGTTCATTAGCTCATCTATTAACATTCTTATTTTAGAAGAGCATAGTGGTTTAAATTTTCCAAAATGGCATATATTAATGCCTTTTACTTTCTCACCTCTAAGTGTTTGTGTATACACTGTCTTTCAGCCCAAGTTGTTTCACATGCGAAAACACAGATTTTCACACTGTGGTATTTAACTAGCTAATCTGCACACTCACATGCTCAGCGATAGTTATTAATGGTATCCTACCGTGAGCTTTTATGTGGACAGGACAAGAATAGGAACAGGCCATGCAAAATCAAGGCAGAGTATGAAATTGCAATTTCATCAGCTTTCTGAACTTAATAGCTCAGTTTTATAATTTACTGAAGTTAATGGGATATATTTTTAAAGCAGTGTGCAATTCCCATTGATGTTAATGTGAGTCGCGCAGATAAATCCCCCTGCAACACTTTCAAAATTCTGCCCCCAGTATGTTCTGCAGATTGAATTCTGAAAACTAGCTATTTCTTTAGGTTGCTGACCTGTCTTCAGAGAAGTGCTGAAGCACAGAAAAAGCAGTTAAAACATGAAGATTTGGGAATTACAGATCTCACTTTTATTTCCCGTGTTCTAGAGAAACTGTTTGTTAGCAAACGATCAGAGATGATCGGATAGCTGTTCTGAGCAGCGCCTACCTTTCTCCCAATAATGAACACTATGCCCCTTTGTTTTAGATGCCAACGTGGACGTCATCTACATCTGCCCCCTTCATCTGAGTGAGGAGTTACTGCAGTATTACAATAAACTCCTGGGTCTACAGGCAGCTGTTAGATCTGGGAACCCTGAGGACATGGGTGACCTGCAGGACAGGTTCAAAATTCTCACCCCTGAAGCTATAAACAGCTTCCCTGTGAGTTTGTCTTCTAATTACTACAGCTTGAGGGATGCAGTAAAATTAAATTGGAAATTTTATAACTTGTAACGCTCTGGTACACATCAGTGAAATATTATTGCAAGTTTAAGAGCTTTACTGATTAGACTACTAGTTAGAGCATTGGAAATAAATATCCCAGTTTAGCTTTATAGACTTAGTTGAGATAGTCCTATATTGGCTGTCTGTAGACCACTGTCTATTCGTAGTATATGTTTGGGACTGTGAATTTGATAGATTTATGTCTCTAAGCAAATCATAGCAGTAAACCATTCTTATTACTCAAACTTTATCTCTGGATGCCCAGCATCCGATCGTTCATGTGTTTGTAGTATTTCTTCCAATAAAATCCAATTTAGAGCTTCTTAAAGAACAGAACTTGAAACTACTTAAGTTAGGTAATACAGAAATATTAGTTCTCAATCTGTCAAGTCAGTTTTAAATCCATGTGCTAGAACATAGTCTAAAATAAGACCTAAACTACTGTATACTGCATACAGTATTTCTGAAAATACTGCAGTGCAGCTACTCTAGAGTGAAGAATTATATATAGTAAATATTAAGTCCACAGTATCTTAGCTGAGATTTGACTTTTATGAAATTTTGTGATACATTTTCTCTCTAGTGTCTGTACTCAAAGTCCTACTCCTGTTTTCAATAGGATCTTAAGATCCCTGTTCTAGGTATTTTGTTAAACAAGTATTTGTACCATAATTTGTCCCATGTTTTGATTGAAATTAATGGCTTCAGAAGGTTAAAGAAAGCTTTTTATATTTAGTAGATGTGTTGCTTTTCAAATGTAGTTCTGAAGTAGCATGCTGTTCAGCAAAGAGCTTAAGTAGATGTGTGAATTCATTTCTATTCTTGAAAACACGTATGTGTGAAAAGTGTTTAGCTGTTATGCTGTATAGGAAGGGACTACTGAGTCAGAGCTGTGTCTGCTAGTTCTGCCATAGTTAAGACTGAGTTTTGCAGATGTGGATGTATTTTTCTCTAAAGTTAGATAAAATCATCAAAATGATACTATTTGTGCTTTTAGGAGCTGACTTTAGTTTAGGCCTTTGTAATCTGTACATTAGAAACTTACTGGCATTGTAAATGCCTGTGCTGAGCCATAATTTGGCCCTTCATCTTGTAAAGTAAAATTACATGGATGATAAATCCTTGCTAAGCACAAGGGATATGTTTTATTCTTTTTCAGTTGAACTTTGACAGTTGTAGCTTTTTTCCCCTGGATACTGGGTCATTTTATCCAGTACTAACTACCAAATGTTGGAAGCTTTAAGTAAAGCCTTCTAAGTAAAATATTCAAAAAATATCATCTAAAAATCTTCATTTTATGGACTGAAAGAGGTGCTGATCAACACAGACATGCTGACCAGGAATAGAAGATGCATTCACCAATTGATTTGTGGTCACAGTGGTTTGGCTGAGGTAGTTAATATAAAAGCAGACCGTTTTCAGACATTCCAATTTCTGTTGAAACGTTCTGGACAAAGCTTGTTTTACAGGTGAAGAGGAAACAAGCCTGCGAAGTCCGATTGTGACAATTATGCAGCTGTGATTTATTGGGAAATGTTTGCATACTCAGGTGTAGGTAGCTCACCTATTTACAAGGGCTACATGGTGCTCTTACGGATATGGTCATGCTCCTCACCCAGTTACAGCATGCTGAGAGGTGTTTTACTGCTGAATGCCGTTGATAAGAATGGGCAATCACAGGTTTTACGTGATACCAGGTTGAGGTATAACCTTGGCTGTTCTGCTTGGTAACTCTGTTAATATGTGAAATCCTCAAGCTGCCTTGTCTTCACCAGACATGTTCTTTACCATGTAGTAGCTAATGTGTCCTATATATAGGATATATTTTTGTGTGAGGAAGAATCTGTACTCCTAACTGATGCAAGTCACCCATTGGCTTCAGGGTCCATGAATTTAGCTGTCATTTCACCTGTGTAATGATTAGAGCTTTACAGGTTCTTCTTGGAAGGCTCCTGTGAGCAATTCCGCAGGTACAAATCAGCCTTAACCAATTTCCTAGCTGTTTTGGTGGAATTGGATGGGCAGAAAGGAACACAGACACAGGCAGCACTGTGCTAATCCTTGGTATCTGCAGAGGGGAGGCAGAGAGGAGCTGGGAGAAAGGGGTGTCCATATACCTTTGTCCTTAGGTGGTCACTAGCTATTACAATGATCTCTCGCCACTCAGCACAGCCAGGCGCAAGGTGAATCGGGGTTAAGCTGTGCTAAATCGCAGCCAGCAGCAAGTCAAATTGTGTAGCAGTAGCTTTGCCCATCATGGTGAAGCTGATGGCAAGTTCAGCTTTTCTGATCTCAGGAATATTTTTTTAAAAATCAACAGGTTCGAGAACCGAGAACTAGCCTTTTGGCTACTAATCATTATTCCATTCAGCGTCATGCTGGAATTCTGAGGATTCCTCAATTCTGCTTTTATCTTCTTTTGCATTGCACTACCATGTGTCATGGCAGCCAGCCTGTTTCCTGCACTCCTTAATTAACTGTAAAATCCATTATTGAGAGACACAAAGCAAATCTCTTCCCTACATCACCGCTTGTGGCCCCAGGGACCGAGTGACCGGGGCTGGGAATTGATCCTGTTCTCCACATGGCCGAACTCTGCCGTGAGACCAGCAGCATGGCCTATCTCCCTGCTTATAGACCAGTGCTCAAGAGGGGAAAAAACAACTGAATCGGAGCATTAAGAGTGCCTGTTTTAAAACTGAAAGAACAAAAAAAGACTCCAGCATGCTTTTGTTGCTCGCTCTTCTCCTACAGCTCCTGTTACTCCCTTTTTCCTGCTAGAAGTTTGAAGAGTATCTCATTTCTCTGACATGCAGCTCAGCTCTCCCTGCAGTATGTCTGACTCCTTCACAGAGAGACTTGAGCGCTTTGGGGAACTATTTGTTTGGCATGAGAAGTCACTGAGGAAGGGACGAGAGAGATTCCTTTTGTCCACTTGTAGGGGCTCCCCCGTCTCCGTTTCACCAGCATCCCCGTCCATGAAGCAGAATAAGGATTTGTGCTGCAGTCTCTGGAGAGGAGCACTCAAGACTTTGAAGGAAAATATTCTGGGATTCCCAGTCCTGGAAATCACTAACAAATCCAGCATGTAAGCTGTCTTGAAAAGGAATGCTGTCCTGAACGGGGTCTAAATTAGATGAAATCTCAATGGAAAGAAGACTTCCTTCTCGTTATGATTTGTTTATGGCCATCTTTTGCAATGGATGTCTGTTGTAATATTTATCCATAATATCCATCCCTATCTGTCCCAGTGCACCCGTATACCTTCAGAAAAAGATAACTGGGTTATCTGCAAGTGTTGCATAGTATGTGTTATAGCACATATTTCTGAATTTGGCCTGCCATGACTGATGTTCTTAGTTTAAATTTACAGTTTATGGCATCTCTGAGCAGCTTGTCCAGCAACAGATATTTTCTTTTTTAGAAGAAATGAAAAAAATACTTGCAAAAAGTTGAAACACTTGTGCTTTAAACAACAAAAAGCTGCTATTCCCTCCTTGAGTATTCTGCAGTTGAGTTTTCAGTAGCAGTCAGAACTAGTGTATAATGGAAATGTATATCCCCAGTAATTTAATGTGATCAGTGAAAGGTTTTGTAAATCAAAGTGTTTTATTCTCAGGGAATCACTTAAAATACTGCTGAACTGTATGGTGAAATACGTTCTCTGCTATAGGGGTTTTTCTTCATTTTTTGTATTGATTTTTAGGCGCTTTAGAGTTAAACCATGCCAGAAGTGTTGCTGAGATGAATCACTATTATCCAAAGGCCACCAGCTTCTTTGCCGACTGACAGAAGGATAATTCCGCATGGATCAAATAAATACAGATGTGTAGTAATTAGTTCTATTCCCAGTGAGCCCATTTCCAGCACACTAAAGATGTGCACGATTATGGAGCCTCACCCCAACAGCTTTTATCAATTTAAACTGCTAAGCTACAGGATAGGTCATAACCCAGCCTGCTATTAATAATGTATTTATTGTGTGCAACATTATAAATTAGGTTTATGGAATAGAAAAGAACACCTTTTAACAAGAATGATGTTATCTTTATACAGAGCCATCACATGTGCCTAGCCACACAGCTGAAGTACAGTCCCAAGACAATCAAAAGAATAAAAATTCTTATCCAGAGCAGAGATGCCTACATTATTGGAGGGGTACCCCACAAAGATGACTTAGAAGTGGCTGACATGTTAAACGTCCCTATATTAGGCTCAGTGCCAGAAGTGGCTCGTCTCTATAGTACCAAGTCTGGAAGTAAACGAATCTTTGCCAGCGCTTGTGTGCCGACCCCTCCTGGAGAATCGGACATCTACAGCAATGAGCAGGTAAGCAGGAGGTGGTCTGCCATGTGGCAACAAGCAGAAGTTTGTTTTCACCAGGTAGGATGAAGACTTTGCTCTGTTACCTGTAAAATTGTAATAACTGAGTTGATTAGACGCTAACTCATTTTGCTTAAATCATGTATCAGATTTTCTTCCTCCCCCCCTTTTTTCTTCCCCCCCTTTTTTCTTCCCCCCCCCTTTTTTCTTCCCCCTTTCTCCCCCCCCCTTTTCCCTTTTGTATCTCACCAATTAAAAAAAATCTGCATCCCAGTCAGGAAGAAATACAATTGTTCTGGTATTCCTCAGATTCTTTCTTGAGGATACATAGGGACTTTTGGTCTGGTTACCTCAAACAGCTTGGATTGCTGAGCCATGGATAAAGTCATGGCCTCAGTGAAATTAATAGGAGTTTTACCAGTGACTGAAAATACAACAGGGATTTCTGGGAAATGAAGTGTTTGATGAAAGGAAAATTTCATCCATTTAGGAAATCAGCTTGTTCAAATTCAGATTCACTGAGCATATCTGCAACAGAAATTTTACCTTGTGTCTGGCTTTTCATTGCTAAATTCACCTATGTTGTTAGCACAACCAGTAAGAAAAGAACAAAAATGTTACTAAACTCAAACTATTAAAAGCAATAACAAGGCACAAGAGTTTTCTACGGTGTGTTCATTTCACATATATATTTATTTTGCATACGGAGGCTCAATGTTTCATTCTATAAGCTAATTCTGCAATTTCCAATGATATATCTACGTATGGTCTGTTGGGTGGATTTCTTTTTAAGTATTTTTTTTATAGCAGTGCTACAACTTATGCAGGAAAATAATCAGGGCTATTATTTGTAAGCCTTCCTACTGCTTAGAGAGAGTTTTTTCATATTGCTTTGCCTTCTATTAATCACCTTTAGCACTGAAAATAATCTCAGATACACAAACGTATTGCAACTTCCATAGTAGGAATAAAACAAATATATGATCAATGATCTGAAAAACAACAAGTGTTTGATTTGTTGGTAAATAATTTGTATGAATCTAATACTTTTGATTCATACTGCAGTGTTATGAAAGTTCTACTTCTGTTGTTTGCTCGTATGAAATACTGGCGTTATTGGTTAAATAATCAAAGAAAGGTGACGCTATATTAAAGTACAGTTCAGTTTTCACTTAAAGATAGCACATAATTCTTTTGACAGTACAGTCCTTACAATATTAGTGATTCTTTTCATTACTGTAGGGGAGTCATCAAGACAAACACATTTATGGGATTCTCGAAAGCCCCAAATAGTAGCATCAGGAACAAACACAAATTCTATTTGAGGTCAAAGTCCAAAAAATAAATACGGAGTCCTAAAGATTGCTATGTAAAGGCAACAAGATCTGATAATACTTTCACTGGGTTCAGTGGCATTCACAGTTTCTGAGGCTAATTACATCCTACACCAGCTGTGCAAAAGGCAGTTTAAACTCATGTAAATCTGTGTACATATACAGATAAGTAATTAGCAGCATTTTTATAAAGCCTGCCTGGTAGCTCCTTCATAAATTTATAGCCGTATAATGTACTCTCCAGTAGGAGAATTTCACAGATGTTTTGCTAGTGTTAGAATCTGGCACAACTGTTTCTCAGATTTTGCAGATAGTCTAGTCCATCCCATGTTATTCCCTGTCAAAAGCATTTATTGAGCTGTACTGATTATCCAAAACCTAAGATCCTGATCTAGCAAGGAAGCCTGAAGAGGCGAGTTCCTCTTTGCAGGGCACAGCTCCATTGCCTATTTAAGGTGCTCTGTTGCTGTCTGGTCCTCTGCCCAGGTGGATTCAAGCGCAGGATGTTGGCAATAGGTTCCTCAACCAAAAATGTTCAGGGTTCTTTTTGTTTGAGATCCAAGATAACTGTGGCAACACAAGTGTCTCTAAGAAACGGAAACCATAGTTATAAATTTTAAGTCCAAATATTAGAGAACTGTAAGTCTAAATGTAGGAACAGTTTGATATCGTCATAGTGCAAAGTGTCTTTGTGTCATTGCTTGGTCCATAGATGATTAATATCCTCAGTCAGCTGATCATTGACAACATGGAAGTGCAGCGTTGGTTGTTCAAAGTGAACGATGAATCTGGAGGAAATGGCACTGCCTACTGTGACGTTACCTTGCATTTGAAGTGCTACCGCTGGCTTCAGAAGGAACGGCAGAGATACAGCCCTGAGATATGGAGTAGTAAGTGGGCACATGTAAGTAAGGAGCAGGGTGTCTTGTTTGTTGTCACAACTCCTTAAGATTCTCCTGGAGTGGTTCCTCACGGTAAATCTTTTCCCTGAGCTTTCATTTTAAGACGTTGGTAAGAGTTGATATTACAGAATCCAGGTTGGCTTGTACAAAAGTAATAGATTACAGTAATTCAAATTAAAAAAGGCAATTAAATATTGCAAAATATAAACGAATGTCTGACATCCAACTGTGGAATAAGTTGGATGTCATACCATTTAATTCATATGCAATAACACAAAAATCTTTCTTAGTATTTTTTATCCAAAGGGGGGGCATGTATAGATAAAGTATATGGGTGGTAGAGCCTTGCAGAAACTTGGCGTTATTGGAATAACTGTTGGACTAATATAGTTGAATGATACTAATCGTTTTGAGGCCAGATACAAACTGATTTTAATGTGGCTTCCTAAGGATTGTTGTTTCTGTACATTTGTCCCTGCTAATAACTTCTACACCTGTTGGCTATTTTCAGCTATATAAGAGAGAACACTTGAGGTCTCCTACAAGTTTCATTACGGTGGGTGTATGGTAAAGAGAGAGACCCTATAAATACCGAACTGAGGGAAAAAGGAACTCATGCACTAGGTTATTCCTAGGAATCCACAGGACAGGAAGAGATTGTAACACACGATACATCTCAACTACAGAAAAAGCTTCAACTGGAGCTTTGAATAAGCGGAACACAAATCCAACTAACTTCATTAGTTCTGGTATTGAGCAAACTATTTGTATTTCAAATATTCTTTGGTATTCAAATGATATTTAAATGTGTTAATTTCAATAAGCATTTGATATTTCTGTATATAGTGCCAAATTCATTCGTAGTGTAACTGTTTTAAAGCCAGAAGGAATGTATCCAGAAAGAATTGTTAAATTTACATGAATGAGTCATTATAGCACTTTTTATTTTTTTAATTCAATCAAAAATGTTTAAAGTTTTTATGTTTGATTGAATTGTATATTAAAATTTCAAATTGTGCTGATTATATTGCTTTTGACAACTACAAAATAATGCCACATTATAACACAGAACTTAACATACAAACCCAAAGGGCTAATTTCTCCTAAAGCCTACTAAGGAGCCTTCACTCTGTGCAAGCCTGAGCAATATGAAGTAGAGCATTGGAGAGCATTATCTGGCCACGCAGTAGTCTGGGTACACATAAAGCTAGCAGGATATACCCAGATCCTGCTCCCTCCATAGGGAAGGCATGGAGTGGGGGCAGAAGACAAGATAAAACAGTTTCCACCAAGTCCAGGTCTTTGCTGGTATAAATTCCCTGTATAAGTGGTATTACCTCTTCGTAGTTTTAGTGTTCCTATTTCTCCGCCTTTTTAATTCTCCAATGGCTAAGTGACTTTGAATAAAGGGTATAGTGGTAACTGGCTTTCTCTGGTTTTGCTTTTATACTGCATTTAAGTGGAGCTTTGATGCAGCTAGGAATCAACTCTTTAGAAGCCCTTAAACATGAACATTTGTTGGAAGTTGGAAAATATATATGGAATGATATATTTGATCTAATTTCTTACAGTCAGCAGAAAAGCTTCCATAAATCCAGACCAGCATTCCAGGTAGCCTAGCCAGAAGAGCAAAACTTGCTGCCATTTTGAACATCTTGTTTGAATATGAGCGTTCAAATTTTTCTGCCTTCTCAGTTGAGCCCTCTTGTAAAGTGGAGACCTTTTTTATATATAATGAATTGCAGTCTCCACTGAGTATTACCATTGAGAGCAGAGGATTAAAATCATCCTTTGTTACAGAATACCATTGTAATGATAGGCATTTAAACATCAAAGCATTAGTTTATGAGCACAGGCATGCTTTAATGTCCTATTACAGTATGTAGACCTGTTTCTGTCGATAATGAAGATGTTGTGTCATTGGTATAGGCTGCCACATACAAAATGTATGCTGGCAGGTTATTAAAAAATTCAGCTTATTGATGAAAGACTATCCTGCAGGCTAAGAGTACAGTGAAAAGACTCTGCATTCTGGTAGAATTATTAGAAATGAGAATATGACTGTAAGCACTAAATTATGTTAATACTTACAAATAGCATAATTTGCATAGCAGTTTAAGACATGATACCCAGATCTTACTCATTGGTATGTAGTAGGCAACAGATTAAAAATAATATAGTTTATGAGTCTGAATTGTGTAAGAATCTATTCTATCTAAAAATGAGATTTTAGATTCCTCATTTCAAATATAACATTGGGCAAACAAAAATGCAGGACAAGATTATCAGTGTATTTTGCCTTGTTAACTTAATGTAGCATCTGAGGTATCTGAACAATTGTCTTGCAGCTCCATAAAGGGCCGAATTCACAAACTTCGCAGAATGGCTCTGTAAGGCCTTCATCCTAGCGTGCACTGCTATGTCTGCCGGCATACAAAAAGCTTCATCCTGAGGCCTGATTCTAATCAAGGAGAACTGCTTTTTCCACAAGTGCCCATCTGGCTGTAGTGAGGCTATTTGTGGAGAGCAGCATTCTCTAATGTGAAAATATACAAGAATGTGGCCCCTGTTTGTTATATGCAGAAAAGATCAGTAAGTCCTGAAACACCTTAGCAGTTTAATTGCACTCTGCAATGTGATTGACTGTTGGAGGAAGCAAGTAACTTCACAGATTTTACCTGCTTAACATATGCATGTAAAGCATATGTGCTGTGTGAAACGCTCTTATGCTTTTATAACATGATTTTCCAACCTATTTTCTGTATCTGTTCAAGCTTCAATTAGCCTGTGCATAGCAGAAAAAGTGATTCTGCTTACTACAGTAAGTGAATGAACAGTAAAGAATGTATTTAGGATGATTGCATTAGGGTCTGTTTAGAATATCTAGAGAAAGATGATACTTATTAATATGTGGTATTCCAAAGTATGCTAAGGAGCTGGGCATCTCCCTCTTGCTGCAAGTCAGTACTTCCTTTTTTCAAGTTTTGAAAAATCTCACCTATGTTTATATGGATCTAAGCTGTGAGACTGGGTGAATTCATGAAAGAAAAAACTGTCAGTGGTTATTAAATTCACTGACACTATCTCTGGCTTAGGGAGTTTCTGAGCTGCAAACTGTTGGTAGCTGGGAGAGTATCTGGGGAATGGATACACTTGCTTTGTTTTCGTACCCTTTCCTGGCCATCCATTTGTGGCCACTGTCACAGACGGGATGCTGGACTAATCAGGCCTACTGCAGCCATGCTTCCATTAAGCAAGAAGAAAGATGCCCAGATGCCTACTCAGAATTCAAGCTGAAGACTGGTGAAAGCAGTCTACAAAGTATGTTATTTGAGTTGTTTTATTTATTTTGGAATAGACCGCAGGCTGTCAGAGTCTGAGATGCCTCTTGGTCTCTGACTCAGACTCAGCCAGGATCCTTAGATGAAGTCCAGCAGGATTCCTTCTGCAGGTTCCACTTCTATTCAGCGCCTGCAGTCCTCTTCCCGTTCAGCAGAAGGATAGTGTCACCACCCTATTAGTGTTGCCTTTTTTGGTTCTTTTAACAGTCCTCTTTCACATAAAATAATACAGGAGCGTATAGACATCCCACCATCTTGTATAACTATACATATCTAAATAGTACCTAAATCACTAGGTTTTATCAATAGTCAGGTTAATTTAAGAATTAAGTCTTATTACACTGCAACTGTTTGTTAACCATGAGGATCAGCAATATGATGCAAGTTTACATAGCAGCAATCCTAAAGGTAAGGAAGATCAGACAGGAGACAGAGAGAGGGATAGGTGCATGGATAAAGAGGAAAAGAACTGAAAAAACTATAATGGAACCAGACAGGAAAAAAAAAGCAAAAGTGTTCTTCTGATTAAGCCATTACAATTGGCCATAGCAAGACAGCTGTTTAAAAAAAAAAAAAAAAAAAGCTCTCCGTCGGATACGATACCTGTTGTAGAAGAAAAACTATTTAATGTGCATGGCTAACCTCCTGTTTTAAAAGCTACAGTGTTTGAATCTTGCCATCTCCAGTTGTGTCTCAATATTGTGTCACAGTTTTCATATAGACCATATCCTGGTTAATTCATTAAAATGAGTAACAGGAACTCAAAATCTTTTCAAGAGGCGGTAACAAGCAGAAAGCCCAAATTTCAGTCTGTGTTGAACAAAGCAATATTCAAATTCTGTTGTAGGATTTTCAGTTGATTGCTATTGAAAAATTACAGTTTGAAAGACCAAGCTAAAATGATGACTGTTTCTTAAAATTGAAATGGTATTGGTAAGCTTTCGTAAGTCCTGTAATAAGTAATTAGATAAACTTAGTGATTATCTGAAAATTAGGAATAGTGATGAGGAGATTTTTAACTAGTTTCATGAGCTTCATTCTCTATAAGAAGACTGAAGCTTATGTAGCAATCTTGTTTCTTTGCTGAAGTAACAGAGAAAAAGAGCATATGTTTACAAACAAGTCAAAATAAAAGCCAGCCATCCTACTGTCAAAAGACTTAATTTCGGAAACATGGCATTGCCAGCACACTGTCATTTCAGGCTGTCTTTGAACACAGTACAGACTCCCAACACTGATTTATTTTTTCCTTTCTGATGCCCATTTTCACCCCTTTGTTGATCACCTTTTGTAACATCATCAACTTTGTTCTAAAGCAGTGCTACAAATATTGCTGAAACTGCAGAATAAAGTGCAGGCAATTGAGTTGGTCTTGGTGTAACACCGAAGGGTCTATGAGAGGGTTCTTAAGCAAGTGGCTTTTGCTGCTGCTGCTGCTGTTATTGTGCACATGCAATTGCAGGTGTGATAATTTTTTCAGCCTGAAGAGGGCCAGAAACTCTGACAGTTCTACAAAAGATCCATTTACATCATTTTGACAGGCTTTTAAAATTTCTTCTAATTTGATGTGGTGTTTAATAGGAAAAGAGAAAGAACCCAAAGGCTTAAGGGAGAGCCTGATTGCCCACAAAACAAAAAAGCCGAAAGTTATTTCCAAGAAT